AAGTTCAATCTTGAATAATCTTAAATATAAAATAATATCATTAATAAATAATAATTCATACTAAATTTGGCTAACCTTATAACATGGTAGCATCTTTATTTTTCTCAAAATTTTGGATGTGAGCGGATAAATACATAAATCAATATGTATTTTATTATGATATACTATATAAATTAAAAGGTTTATTAGCTATCTTTTTGCATAAGTAAAACCCCTTCAATGATTTGGACATGTTTAAATTTGGTTCATCTTGCATTCTTACAAGGAAAAGTGTCAATGAACTGTGTCAAAATGGGCTTGATTAACATTTAGAAACTTAGGTTACAGCTCACGCTTGAAGTGTCCATTTATTTTATATTTACTATTAAGATATTTAAAATTATATTTTATGTAAATTTTTTAATATTTAAAATAAAAAGAGATCTATTTACATTAATATAAATTTAAAAAGTTCTTTTTTTTATTTGTAAATCAAAATAAATTCATGGTTAATTTGAATCAAAATAATATTTTTAATTTTAACCATGAATTTAATTTTGATCTAAAAATAAAAAAAAAATCTTTAATTTTATACTGGTGTTAGTAAATCTTTATTTCTTTAAAATATAATTAAAATTTAATAAAATTATTCTCAAACTGATCCAAGTTGAACATCAATTTAGGAACTCATGTGACATCAAACCAGTGAACTTGATAGATAGTTCGACCATTAAACATGTTTATTTTGGACATGCTGTTTCTATTTTAATCTCCATGGCATGAATTTTGTAGAAAACATAAACAAATTGGAAATGGTGAGAAATTTTTTCAAATTGGTCATAATTGGGGCCTATGAAGATCCACTCAAATGAGAGTTGAGTAATAGATAGAGTTACACTTGCTCTTTGACCTCCCCACCAAAACAAAAATGCTTGGATTGCATCTCTTCAATTTAATCCAATAAAATGGTCAAAATTGGGGACCCATTTTTCCTCATTAGAATTTAAGCACACCATTTTAGAATTAGATTACCTCCTCAAATTACATGGGCCTAATATGTGCCCTACATAGAGCAAAAAAAAAAAGTGAAGCTAAGGTCAAAAACTTTTTAATTAACTAATCTAAACTTTAGCTAATAAGCTCAAACCCATTAGTTCACGGCGTAAATGATGTCATTTTCGATTGATTAATCCAAATAATCACTAAGTATGCAAAGTAAAATACTTTTTAATTTTTTTCTTTTTTTTTCTTTTTGATTTTTATAAAAAATTTCAAAATGGCCCATTAAAACGCGTTTCGACAAAAAAAAGACACACATATATATAAGATGCTACGATAAAAATTTGACTAGCAACGAGGGAGGAGAATATAAAAGGGGTTGCTTTGATAACTTAATCTTCAATGATTTGAATTAATATATGGTATAATATTTTTCCCCTAACACACAATTATTATATTATATATATTATATAGTAATAATTAACAAATGATAATCGATAATGATGGTGCCAAAGATTTGCTATAACTTTATCATACTTTGATTACATCTTTTCCTTTAGAAAAACTTTAATTATAGAACATTCCTTAGTTAGCCCATTATACTACTTGATCATGATCTTATTATTATATGGTGCCATTTCCAATTACTTTATTCCCACTACGGACCCTAAAACTAGGGTTCTTTTACATATTGTTATCCTTGGACAATGGTTCATGCCTTCATGGTATTCTATCCCTTCTATGTCTCACTTCACATACTTTTTTTTTTGTCAAAATTATTATTTGGTTCAATTTTAAATTTGATTTAGATGATTCATGTAATTATTTTCAAAATGTGATATTTAACATGTATAAAATTCAAATTCAAATACTTACAATTTTTTCCTATCTTTATACTATAATTTTTTAAATGGTTATTTAATTATTTTTTAAAGTTTTCTTAAAAGATATCAATGGTAATGTGTTAGGTGAGCAAAGTATTTTTTATTTTTTTTATTTTTATATTATAAATATATTCATATTCATACCTAACAACTATTTCAAATTTATCCTAATTATAATAAGTATTTAATGGGTGCAGATAATTCTTATACCTATATCTTTAAAAAATATAAAAATAAAAAATTATTTTTAGCTTATTTTTAATTTTTATCTTGCAATTTTTTTATAAATAATTTTTGAAGTAGGATCAATTTACAACAGTATAAAATTTTTTAATTTAATATATATATATTAACTATTAATTTCAATATATCAAAGAAGTGAGAGAGATAAGTAAAAAAAAAATTTAATCTCATCATTTAGATATATTAAAATCAATAATTAGAAAAAAATATAAATTTTTTTGTGTAAGTTAATCCCTATCATATTTTTTTAATAAAAATATTATTTTTAATCAATCTAAAATAAAAAAAATTATTTCTTAAATATAAAAAAATATATGATACAAAAACGGGACATATATTATATTATTTTTTTTTATATTCAATAAAAATTTTAAAATTATACATATTCTTATCTTCAAAATTTAATAATCATTCATATTTTTATTCCTTTATAAAATCAAATTTCTTATTGGATACGTAAAATATTGATACTCTTAATTTTTTTTAATGTGGTTTTAATTAATTTGTTTGTTAAGCAAGACTAGAAAGGGTCGCAGGCTAAAGGACAACGCGAAAGAACATACAAAAAACAACATATGGAACTATGGAAGCAATCGTCTTGAAAATGGAGTCTAAATGAAAGAGAAGAGCCATAGCCAGGAAGAATTTTTCACCACTTTGTTGAAAAAAATAGCTGACAAAAATATGTAGGAATGATTCATCGGAAAAATCAAAGAATCTTAAACAACTTTTTTTTTTTTTTTTACACCTAATTGTCGAGGAAAACTGTGGATTTATTCCAGTCCTGGCTAAAAAAAAAGAACTTTCTAAAACTTGCAGTACTTTTGTCAGTGAAACGATGCCCGTTCTAATCAAGTACAATTATCCTAATAAAATGGCTGCTAATTCAATAAAAAGCACGTTTAACATAAGGTTTAATTACATGATTTTTTTTTCCATTAGCAACAAATTAATCATGATCCCTAATACTTAGTAAAAGCTTCTTAAAGATAAAACGTGGGACTAAGGTTAAATATGTCTCTATATTATGATTTAATATTAAATATTATCAATGTACTTCAATTTTATTATTTTTTCATTTTATTATTATTATTTTAATTTTTGAACAATAATAATGAAAATAAAATATTTCACGCAATATTTTATTAGTGTAAGTATCAATTTTTGTTAATTCTGTTATTTTTTATACAAAATTAATAAAATTGAAAATGTAATGATAAAGGATAATAAAATTAAAGTATGATAACAAAATTCAACATTAACCCATAATATATAACAAATTTGACCTTAATCTCACAAAATTTCCTAGAATTACCCTAAAATTTAAGGTAACAATGAATTAAATTAAAGATATCAATCTATATGAAAAAGAAAAAGAAAAAGAAAAAGAAGATTTTGCCATTTTATAATAGTTGATTTGAGGAAATATAATAGTTTTAATTTCTTTTTATTATTTACATCTTACTACTTTAAAACTTGGTAAAAATAAAAATCAAACACTAAAAAAAAATATGAAAAAAAAATGAAATCAAATTGAATATAATTGTTTTATGCAAAATTAGATTAAAATTATTCTTTTTTTGGCCAAAGATTAAAACTATTCGTTCTTATAAAAAAACTATTTTATATAAAATACTTTTGCTCAATGTTTTAAAAATCGAATCGAAGTTGAACCGACGAAATGCTGGATCCCTCGTTCAACCAGCAAGTTCAATTAAAGAAAGATTTTTTCATTAAAAGTTTGATTTTTACTATTAAATAAGTATTAAATGCAATAACATTTAATAAAAAAAATATTTGACTCAATGATTTAGTTAATAATCTAAGTATAAAGGGTTAAAGATTCAAATAATATCATTTAGAAAAAAAAAAGAAATATTAAATAATAAATTAATTACTTAAAATCGATTGAATATCAAACCAATTTGATCTAACTGGATTTAACTGGATATATGACCAATTCTTGATCAGTTCAATATATATATATATATATATATATATATGTATGTATATTTGATTTTATAGGTGTTGGTAGATGGGACAGGTCATGGATTTCCAATTCAACTGATCTGATGGATAGATCCGGTGTGAGTTTTTCATCACTGGTTGTGCTTTCTTTTATAATGAAAGAAGAAAATAAAGAAACAAAATTAATAAATGGAAACTCTTAAGGAAAGCCCATGAAGCAACCTAATATGGGAAAGAGAGCAAAGGGAAGCAAATTTTTACTAGTAAGGGTGAAACAGTGAGGAAACAAGAAGAAACCAAGGTCAATTCTTGTTCCCAACTCTCTGTCCAAAGGCTTTATATATATTGGTGATGGTATCATTACTCCTCAATTTTTATTTTTTTTTTTTGTATATATACTAGTACTAGTTATAATATAGGTATATATGGAGAGTGAGATGGTGATGGAACAGGAAACGTATTTGAAGCCATAAAATCATCAGGATGCCAAACAGCTGGAGCCCATCTCCCCTGTTTTTGGAGCCATATATGAAAAGGACTGTCAGGCATTGGCACGATATCTATATCTATATATATCTATATATATATATATATATAATCTTATCATCTTTTTTTTCTTCTTCAAGAAAAATGAGATACAATTAGATATTACGCTGATGTAAACACCAATGGCAGGGCGACACATCACTTCTTTACAACATTGGCCCTAATCATTTGGCCATACACTTGGGTACCTTTTTATTATGATGATTTGCCCTTCTGGTATAACACTCAAATTTTATGAGGGCAAATCGTTTTTTTTTTCTTCTTTTTCTTTTTTCACATTTGGTAAAAAGTTAAATTCAATCACTTGAGATCCCAAATCGGGATATGGAGGTTTTTGTATGCTTGGGTGTTGGTATTAATGGGCTCAGGTTTGAACCATAGCCTTGTACTAGAAATCCTCCCTATAGAGTTACCTGATCAGTGGCCTGAGCCTTGGACCCAGAGATGAAGATTTAAGGCACAAATCAGGAGTTTCCCCCTCATTATGGGGAAAGAATGCAAGGGTTCAACTGAATGAAGGCTACCAAAAAAAAAAAAAAGACATAAATCAATTTTTTCTTGCAGCATACTCCTTATGCTAGTAACAAATAACACTTATCAATAATAATCATATACTAGTAATAAATAACACTGATCAATCACTTGCTATTCAATTATTAAGCAGCATACTCCTTGTAAATGCAAGATAGATCCCTGCTCATTTTGGATTGGGAGGGGGAGAGCCTCCCATGTCCTATTGAAACAACATTTACATTACATCATTCATGACCAACAAACTTTCTCCTCATCTCCCTAGGCAGAACAGAACCACCCCGACGTGTTTTAAATGGAGGGAGAGAAACAAAGCAGGCAATGATAATGTTAGTATAGTCAATTTCAGGTAAAATTTCCTTGTCTAGCACTAAAAATGAGTTTCAGTGAACTATTTTGCAGCCTCAGCAATTGAGAGTCAAGATTCAAAATTCACTTGGAAGAACATTGAAAAAGTGATCTCATCTTCATCAATGACACCAACCTCCGTTGAGCAGAGAGAACAGCACACTGGCTTGAATACTTCCCCACCAGCAGCAACTGCTTCATTCTCACTAGATTCTCTTCCTCTCTTGTTTTTTTTTGGTTTTACCCTTTCTTGCCTGACTTTTTCATTTTCAATCTTGCAGTTTACAACAAAAATTGCCCTGTATTGAGTCATATTTTTCATGCGTGCAAGGCACAAATTAAGCTTAGTTATGGCAAGAACAAATGCACATGTTGATCCCAGCACAAACTTCTCGATGATACCACGAACAAAAATAGAATCTGTACATCCCAGTTAAAAGATATTAGTATTTTATATTTAACTCTTACATTAACAAAACAACTTAAAGCTGCAAAACAATTATTCTCCCAAAACAAAAGTAAAAAAGTTGCATCTGTTAATAAAGAAAACCATTTTTTTTTATCAAAAAGCATTTTGAATTACTAATAACAAGTATTAGCAGGAAAAAATAACATTGCACATTCATGTTGGAGCATGCATCTCCAGTACATGACACAAGACATATTCCTTCCCTCTTTGCGGTAAAAAAACCACAACTTGGTGCATGGAAGAAATGGCTTGAACTCATATCTTATTGCCATAAGTTATTACCCAGAAGTTAGTTTTATTGCTTTTTCGATGCATATCTTATTTATGAATAGTATTTGGTAAGATAACAGAGCACTATGAACACATGCCAAATTTCAAATTGAAATGACATTTATACAAAACGTCCATTTCTTTTGCAATAATGTCATTCACAAATCACAAAAACTGTCTAAAGCAAATGTATAACGCAGGGAACTTGCAAAGATGGAACAGTGAAACATATCAAAATGACTTGAAAGTTGACATGCGTGATTTACCTAGACATAATAATCAAAGACTAATGCTTAGTCCAATATCAATTTCTTGATTTTCCTTTAACCTACAAATGCACATACCTTTGGCACTCAAGGCAGAGGGTGGTATAACAAGCAGGACAGCTAAGCACAGCATCAGAAATACGGCCCTTCCTTTTATTCTGAACCCATAATTCATCTTTATCATCAAGCTCTGGGTCAAGAATTCTGGTTTGATCGAATATTCTATTTCATCATCCTCAGAAACTGAAAATGCACGCAGCATGATCAACAATACTAATTAGATTATAAAATGAAATGACCTGAATATGCAGATGAAGACAGTTCCACAACCAATAATGAAAAGAATTGGTGCAAACTGACAATATTTTTAATTAAATCAATAATATGATGAATTGAATCAAAAAGATTAGCTGTTAAATGAGAACCAAGATAGTAAAAATTCACTGATGGTAGAATTTCAATTATTTGTGCCAGCGAAAGTAGTAAAGATAATCATGAAAATGCACAAAGAGGAAATTAAGATAAAAGACAGTAGAGGGAATAAGAAAAACCAGTGGTTTGCTGGGAATTGGTGGGGGAATCGATTGTTAGTGTTTTGGACCCTTCTTCTTTCACCGCTACATGCTTACTGCTATACTACTGGTATTTGTTTTCTCTCTTTCTATTATCCCTGCCTGCCTGCCTGCCTGCCTGCCTTCCTTCTGTTTTTGCTGGATACTGGAAAATCACACCGACAAGTGCCACCACCAAGTGTTTGCGGTTTAGCCAACCCAAGGTTAGCTCAACTGGACCTGCCCACCTTTCACTAATTTATCAATGGGCAACCGCCAATGGGTCCATCAATCCATCGAGGTCCATTTCTAAATTACTCCACTCCACAATTGTATAATTACAATAAAGTGAAGCTTCGAATCTGAATTAGAGTTTGCGAATACTAAGTTTGGATAATTGTCAACTCTAATTAAATAATCAAATCGTAGATTTTAATTTTTTTGTTTATTTGAGTCCGTAAAGAATAAAATTAAGATCATTAGAATTAAAAATTAAAAATTAAAAATTTAATATTTTACTATTTCAAAAGAAAAAAATTAACATTCTATCAATGAATAAGAATTTACTTACATTAATGTAAGTTTTACATTTTTTTTATTATTAGATTAAAATTAAATATGTAATTACTTTATTTCCAATAATAAAAAATTGTTAAAACTTATACTAACGTAAGTAAATCCCTTTTTTTACGAAACATATAATAAATAATAGTATGACAAATATTTACAAATTGTGCGCATCAACGAATTCATTGCAATCATATATTATAACCAAGTCAAGTTGATCTTCCATTTGATAGCCTTCTATTTCAATACATGATAATCAAGCCAGGATAATCTGTGGCTTGTTCTTTTGGCGAAAGGAAAGAAAAAATCAGGCGTTCGTGAGACCTAGATCTGAACATTGTGAAATAAAACGCTATACTACTAATCATCCTCTCACACCACAAATGATTCCCACTTCCCACCTTCTGAAAAGAAGATTTGAAATTCAACAGGCTTTGCTCTTGCATAAAAAATATGAAGCAGACAAATAAAAATACTAGCACGGTAGCCATACACTAAACATGCAACGAATGAACTTTATATGATGATAGGTATTAAAAAACCAAAGAAACATGCTTCAAAACAATTTGCCCTTCTACATTATTTCTCAGACAAAGGGTTCAATTATGCGTTCCAGCGGATAAACGATACCTTTGGAGACGCTTGTTTGTTCTCATATAGTAACATTTTGCAGATAAAAAGGGGTGAAGATTGAGCAAGGACCAAAGAATTTATACAACAATGTAAGAAAGAGTAAATGAAGCTGTCATAGACAAACAAAGCTGTAAAAAATTCAGATGTACATATAATACCCAACAACAAAACTAAAACTTTCTCAAAACGCAACCACACTAATCTTAGTTCTCCATGTTTACACATAACTCTGCTTCCCAACTTTGGGACAGTCTTGTCTTATCACCATGTCTCATGAAATGCTGATATTTTGCTGCATTTCAAGCTGCCAAAAATCAAATCCAAGTTAGGATGCCATAATACAAATAGCAAGCTCAATTTGACAATGAAAATGCAGGCAGGTTATATATATATATATATATATATATATATATATATTATATAAAACAAAAATTGAATGAAAGTACTACAGCACCATGTAAACATGTGTGCCACCATAAGAAAGTAGCTCTGATTCGTGTACATCACAATATACTTAACGAGTCAAGAAACCATAAGTTCTGTAACTATGATTTTTTCTAACTCCACTAGTTAAATAACAGAACCACCTTTCTATCTTTCCAACTTTCCATCAAGCATAGCCTTATGCACGAGCACTGAAAGCATGCAAACGTATGCAGGCTTTGATGATTAACATTATGTCTTTTTAGAGCAATAAAATTGCTTTTAATACACTGAATCTGCTAAATACTGATTCTTTGAAAAAGTACAATCAAAACAAGTAGAAACTGTGACAGTTGTATTAGTATAAGTAATATGAAATGACTGCAGCAATTCGTCTTTTTAGAAAAATGGATAACAAAATTTTAATCTATTTTGAAAGTTTGCGCATACATCTTTTTTTTCAGTTGGTATAAATTGACCTAAACCTATTCCAGATCCACAGCAGCCTAACATTTACTTAACAATAAGGTTCAACCCTCCCTTACAAGCCACTTAGGGGACGAAGCATGCCATCAAGAGGTAGGCTTGTCAAGCAAATAGGGATTCATCAAAATTCAACCTCAACCAAAGAATATTTGTTGTATTTCAAGTCCTAATTGGAGTTCAGTTTATCAATATTTCAACAGGATTCAAGAAATCATTCCGGCGATTGCCCTTGGCCAGTATCTAAAGCAAGAAATGACCACATGCAGGCACTAAAAGTGAAGAGTTAATGTCATGAAATGGCCTCCTAAAACTATAGTGAAATATTCAATTTGGTATCTGAACTTTAAAAAATCTCTAATGTGATACCTGAACTACAAATTTGTTAACTAATGTGATACTCACCTCTAACGTAATTAGTTTCAAATGATGACACATGATGGACAAACAACCCTCCATTTACCACATTAGTTAATAGATTCATAGTTCAGCTAACACATTAGAGACTTTTATAGTTTAGGTACCACATTAAATATTTCACTATAGGTTAAGGACTATTCATAACATTAACCCAAAAATGAAACAATCAAAAGCCCCTTGCCAGTCTAAGTATCAATATGTCTATGACATTTCAGCCAGATATTGTACCCCACGAAAAATAAAAAAGGCTTGACACCCCAGCTACTAGGACCACAAGGTTATTCGGACAGCGTAATAATGGAACAAAATTAAGATAGAAATATTGAATGGCAACACATTACACAACCTAGACATACATGAGCATTAGAACTTGCCAGGAGTTTTCTCAGTGAATATGATGTTAGTGCCACAAGACATAGACTGGAAGTATATAAAGAACTTACTTTTCTACTTTTTTGTTCATGTGACTCGCCACCACCCCTTTTACCCATAACTTCTTTACATGCTTTCCTTTACCTTATCACCTAAACAAAAGATAATCTAATTTATAGTCCTTAAGTTGGAGTAACGCCTCAATAAGTTACAGAATTCCAGAAGAAAATCATATGGTCCTATAATCTTTCTACTTCAAAATATTTCTGAAAGCAGATCTTGCTTCAGCTACCACATCTTTCAATGCCCCTGAGAATTTACCTTTACTAAGCTCAGAGAACTATTATCACGGGTAGAAAGCTCAGCTTGGTATTCAATCTTTATATAGTATCACTTCCCACCACCTCAACCTTCCAAGATGACCACCAAGCCTTTCACAGCTAACATCAGCTGGATTCTTCAAAAGATATACCAACTAAAAGCATTTAACATGAGAAATAATTGTTGACAAAAAACTAGTAACTAAATAGCCGTGAAGCATTGTGTTTTACAAACAAACCAATTATAATACCTTCCACAATCAAATGGCCATCATCCCATATAAAGAAGACTAGAATCTAACAAAAGTGTCAAACACAAAAATGCAACCCTTGACCAACATATGCAAATTTATTAGCAACCATATGCAGGTAGCTGACATGTGTGAAAGGTTACGTTAAAAAGACACATACAAGCCGTCTGTTAATATCATAATTTATAATTTTCATATAGACAGTTAAGCTACAATTTGATTAAGGACGGAACATGACAAGAAATCTTTTGATGCTTAAGCAAGTTCAGACTTCTCCTTCTTTCCCTCGAACACTTAAGATAGGGATTAAATATGTCTAGTGAGCACAAAAAACCTAAGAAGTCTTGACCTCCACCTTCATAATTATAGCAACTACACTCCTATTATAGATAATGACCAAATTGTATGTACAGTGAGCTCATAAAATGAAGTAATAATAATCTCAAATTCTAGCTCTAGCTCAGTGACTCTAATTAGTGATATTGTACAAATAGAAAAAAAAAAGATTAAGAAGGTTTAAGAGGCATCACCATAGTTTCAATTACATCAACAATAAATGCAAGGAAATAATCTGAAAAGCCATGTAGGCATAACATTGACTATCAGGGGCTTCCAAGGAAAGAATGCATATATTTTATTAGTTTGACTAATGCTTTCCTATCAAATTCACATAAATTATTGGTGTAATTTGTTGACAAAAGGATGAAAAATTCGATATCGTGTTGTGCTTAGCAGGCATTCTCATTCTGTTCTCCACAGTACTGTATGATTTTGCCATACGCTACGATGGACAAAAGGCCTGTAACCAAAAATGCCCAAAGCTCAAATGACCAACTTCATTGTATTGGCTGATAAACTAATGTGATGACCATTGAACACCACACATGGTACACAAGAAATTGAGCTATAATCCCAATTTTCAAATACTCCAAATTGTAGGCCAATATAAAGAGAGTACGAGTAAAAGGGGATAAAATAATACATATAATTGTTAAAAGAGGCAAAAAAATTACTCACAATTCTCAATCCAAATCTTCTTGCCTGGTCTCCGCATTATCACCTGATCCTGAAGCCGAACCACGAGCCCCAAATGGCCAAGGCAGCGATATTCTAAAACTCCTCTCCACTGTCCGATTATCCCCGACAGAACTCTGCCCATTATCACCCCCACCACTACTACCACTATCATTACCTCCACCCGTCCCCTGCGCCCCACGAACCCTCCTCTCATAATCAGGATCATCCGTAGGTAACTCATGACGACACACGGGGCACGAATTATGCAATTCAACCACGGCAATATGCAATCCTTATGATAAAGATGCTTACAGGGCATCTGCTTCGCTTCAGTCTCTTCCTCGAACTCGTCCATGCAAACTGCACACTGGTTGAACTCCGAATTCAAGTGATTCTTCGTTATCTTCACCGAAGGTAGCGAGTCAATGGCTGATTTTGATGCCGGTGGGGTCCCGTACCGGTTAGGGTCGTTTTCGGCCAGCCTGCTGGATCAGTTGCTCGAGGCCCGGTCCCGATGAAATAATCCCTATGTTTGCCGGAAGCCGAATGCCCGGCCCGACGGATTGTTCTGGATCACGAACTCGATGTGCGCCCCGCTTGAACGGAGATCGTTGAGATGATTTTGGATGAAGGTAAACGGATTGAAAGGGTCGCCTCGGCCTGACCGGTTAGACCCGGATAG